TGTGTGTGTGTGTGTGTATATATATATATATATACACACACGCTTTCAGCATGATCTTCTGTACTTTTAATTGATTCACAAGTTAATTTTACTTTCTTCCATTTTTCTCTCTCACCTTTTGTCCTTTTCCTTTTCTTTTTCGTTCATTTTCTTTTTTTCCCCACACGTAAAGACATGCACGCAATTACTTTTTTTCTTCTTTAATGAACTTACTCGCGAACTGAATGTGCATTATCTGGGCACGCTGTCATTATCCGCCACTGGGCTTTTGTGATTGGCGAAGCGGCGATCGATAGCCTGGAAATCCAGTAAATTTGAGAAAACGATGGAAATGTAATCGATGTACGTACGTGTTCTTTTTGTTTCCCTTCTTTTTTTTTTTTTTCTTTGTTTCTGCCTGTTTCACTTTTGTAATCTCTTGACTCTGAGCGCGCGTGCATACGACATAGCTAGGATTTTTTCTTCTTTTTTTTTTTTCTTTCTTTCTTTACGTATTATTTATAAATGACGAGACACAACTAAGCTGTCGAAAGAAGTCGACTCTTCCGCTAGCTCAATGGTATTATCATTATTATTATTAGTATTAGTATTAGTATTAATATTAATATTATTATTATTAATATTATTATTATTATTATTATTATATTATATTATTATTAGTATTAGTATTATTTTATACTTTTTAATACTTTTTTTTCTCTTTTTTTTTTCTTTCTAATTACTCTTGACGATCGTCGAGACTTGGTCCCAACCGCAAAATGGTGAGTTTTCTCGTGTCGTTCTGGATCCACAAATAACGATCGATCATCGACTCGAAAATTCCAGCCGTTTCTCGTCGCCCTTACGACGTGAAATCAGACAAACATCGCAAGATCTGATTTTCGAACGCGTGCGTCCGAAACGTGTGCACATCAATTCGAAACGGAATTGTCAATCGTTGAAAATCAATGGCAACGACTCGAAGGAACTACGAATAAGTAAGTTTTTTTGCAATTCTAGAAATTTGTTCGACTTATCTCGATTGGATCGTGAAACTGAAAGAGAGATTCAGTTGTACGGATCCAAGCAGAAAAGTGGCAACCACTGTCGGCGAAAGAATCTGTCACACATAACCTAAAAAAAACAATTTCAAAATCAATTGGTTATCGATACATACTGGTATCGCGCGGAACCTCGATATCGTCCGAGGTTCGTGATTGCGTTAATTTCGACTTCGCCATTCGCTCGAATATCGCCTCTGTAATACTCGGAAGCCGATAGCATCTAAAAGTCTAAAAGGGGCACTCGAGTTTGTTTTCGTATTTCCTTTATCGTGTTTAATCGTTCGTTTATCCTTCGGTGAACAATTTACGGGGAGAAACGATTCGGAGTACAATCGATTATTTCAAAACAACCCGGTTCGTTCGATTTTTGCTCGGCGATCGATAATCGCGGACGCGAAAACGGCAGGAAATTGACGCAAAGAACGATGGTTGTCGTTTGCCTAATGGCTGCAAAGATAATGACGAATGCGCGACGTCGACGAGATTTTTGAACAGTCTAGAGATTATCCTTTCTTTCTTTCTTTTTTTTTTGCTTTTTTTCTGGTTTGTTTCTCTCCTTTTACGTTTCGTAAATAATCGTGTACTTGTGGTTAAACGAAACGAAACGACAAGATCTCTCTTCTAAACAACGGGGCGAGAACAAACGTCGCTAGATG